ATAACACTAACGGTTCCAATTATTTTGCAACAGATGCTCATTTCGACAATAAATGTCACTTCAGTAATGCTCGAGGCATAAATATTTAAAATTCAAAACAAATTATAAAGATTCGATCTTGAAGAGCTTATAAACAAAAAGAACAAAAAGTATAGCCTAAGATCAATTTTGTCTTATATTAAAAAAAAATTTATGCTAATTTCAAATGATGGTTAATGATTTCCATTAAAATGAAGACATAATTACACCCTTAATCAACACGAAATCATTAACCCTTACTATGTCACAATATATAACTATCTTACCTAAAATAGCGTTTTCTGGCTCCAATGTCTCTCCATACTTTTAGAGGTCAACTATTTGATATGGTATTTTTTCTTATAAATTTATGCATGTTCTATTAACCTGAGGCTATTTATTGTAAGGTTCCTCAGATTTTAAGACAGTTTGAGCCTAAAAACGAACTTTAAAAATTAAAATCAGAAAAATACTTGGTGTTTTGGAGGGGTGGGCTCCGCTTTGGTGCCTAGTCCACACAGAAAAGTAGCAAGACACTTTCAAAAACAGTGTATGTCTGCGAGCATGTGACTACTGATTATTTGATTCCGCTAGGGAAACGACTTCTTACGATTCCAATCAAGGTGAAGGGAAATAGCGACACAAATCGGGAAAAAAACCCTGATTGCTGGCTGAAATGACCATATTTTGACTGCCATACCGAGAAAAGTTTCACTCATATCTAACCACTTTTTGTATTATGTGCCGCCAGGAGTCTACCCTATATGTATATGCAGACGACAGTGAGATACATCTGTAAGCATTCCTGGTCATACCAGTTTAAGAAATAGGAGAAAAGTCGCACCAGATTTTTCCGACTTTGGGACAGCATACCGCCCACCCTAAGAGGCATAAAACTTCCAAAAACTGTTTAATCCCGCGGGCATATAACTTCTGATCGTGTTAATTTAAGATTTTACAATAAAGTTTTCAGTTTGAAATTCTTTATCTATATCTAGCCCGGAAGATGATTATTTCATTCAAAGTTGAAATCGGTGAGAAATAGTTGGAATGGTTAAATTTCATTTGAATATCAATGAAAACAAAATTACCAACTCTTATATTTCTCTAATTATTTTTTTTTAAGCGGAAATGTTATCAATCTCGGTGCGGTTAAACTTCATGATTCGTTATTAAACTTTTATTAAATTCATAATAGCTATGTGACTTTATAATACAAGAAAAATCTCTCATATGTATATGTTGATTGACATTATGACTCGTATATCTAGAGGTATTAAAAAGTGTTGTTTGAATGTACGTTAGTACGTTGGTCAAAATGTAATTATATAATACTGCGGCCATATCAATAATGCTATCACAAGACTATAACATGTTTACCAGATAAGACATGTCATAAATTATGTCGTAATGTTAGAAAACTCAATGGAAGTCTTAAGATGATCTTGAGATAGTCCTTTAACCATGGATGCCATCAGTTTGACTAAAAACTTCGAAAAATAACACAAGTTTGTTTACTTTGATATATAAAGTTTAAAACTTGAATAAATTACTTTTCAACTCGTAGAATTCAATGAATACATCTAAACAGTAATGACAATACATTTATAGTATAATATACAATTGTTTTTACTACCTTATACACATATTCATTCGTTAGCATCAAAGAAACTTATGAACGTCTTGGGACGATCTTGGATGGGACCATCCTAAGGTAGCTATTTAAGTGACATGTCTCACAACAGTCATATGGTCGTCCGTAAGAAGACATATATATACTGACATTTTTCATAATACTTTCATTGAGGTTGCCCCTGGGTTCAATTTTTGTCTTTGTCGCCATTTTTAAAACTTAACAAACTTATGCAACATGTCAATCACTGCCCTTGTCCTTATATTTTTTATTGTGTCTAAGTCAGATGACTTTTCTTTTATATCTATCACATTTATTGGTTTACTGGTACATTTCGACCTTTCTTTGTGCTACTTTGGCCGTGTTTTAAAGTGTTGGTGATTATGAATGATTAAAAATTGTATGATGCTGATTTCTTGTGTGTTGAATTCCTTCTCACTGAATTCAACTTGACACATTCTATTTAAGATAGTTCTTTGATAGGAAATGGATCTCACATAAACAGCGATTTTTTGGTTATCTTTGACGGTGCTAGTATGGTTGTCCTTCAAGATGATATCTTGAAAATAGTAATAAATAATTCCAAATTAAAATCTTTTGAGAGTAATCACAATTTGTTTAATTTAAACTCAATTCTTTTCCAAATATAATTGAACTTTTTGCTCAGACGCATAAAATTGTGAGTTAAAATGTCATATTCCGTACAATTTTGAGGATATTCCGGAACAATAAAATATGAAGGTCGCACTTGTCGCGCCTTATTGGAAATTTTTATAAACATCATAACGAAACACAATCAGCCCGAGTACTAAAGATCACTCTGACGGTCTTTTTAAAAAAACAAGTAAACGTCTGCATTCGGATAAAAAAAGACAGGTCAGATCGTCTATCAGCGAGACTGCTAGGACCGTCGTAAACGCTATGACTTGTGTATTATATGATCAATATGAAAGTATACACAGTCCTTGGATTGTTCTGTGGTCACAGCTGGTACCATTATTTGAGTAAATAAAATCAGTCCGTCTGGCCTTCGACAATGAGAAAAACCCAAGACATGATAAAATGTTAACCAATTCAAACAATACGCCAATTATCTGCTGTATGCTAATACTATAACTCAAAACCTAATATAACATGCAGCAACCTGTAACTTACAGATTCCTGGCATGAGATATTTTTTCAGCTTCCATATTGTGAACTACCCATTTCTATGCAGCAACATTCAATCAGCGTCTGCATATGGAGTATATATCTCTAAGTTGATACGAAATTGCATAGGTTACATTTCCTATCATGACTTTCTTGAAAGAGGGTTGCTGCTTACAAGAGAGCAATTTTAACCAATTGGTGAAGTCGAAATCATCCTTTCGAAAATTTTACGGACGGCATCCTAAGTAGGTTAACCGTTAAAGAATATTTCACAGAAGACGACGGATATGTTTCAATTATCGTTACCATAATCCCGTCTTCTTTTCCCCGAATGTGACCTACCAAATAAGACTTATCACCGGGTTTGTACTTTCATGAGTAACCCGACGGAAAGCACATGTTGAACAGAATATTCTTGCCCTTTCAGAGCACCTGATATTACCCCTAGTTTCTGATGGAGTTCGTGAAATCATTTAGAAAAAGGTTGTCTCATCTCATCGACACCAAACACTAAAAACAAAAGAAAAAAGAACCGATCTAAGAGAATTGCAGTTACTAAACACGATACTTGGAAGCTCACTTAAACTAACAAATTATTCATGTTTTACAAAAATTTAATATCAACCGCTCTACATGATATGGAGCAATAAATGTTCATAACTGTAAATTAATACATACTAAGTTACATTTTAATTTGCAAAAAACAAAATCAATGTTAATAAAAAGAATTCGTACTTCCATATAAAATAGAATCGGAGAATATTAAATCTGAAACTTAAAGATGATTCTTACAAAAGATAAATTTCATTTCACAATAATGTAACATTTGTTTTTTTCTGATATATTATAATGCAGCGTCGGTGTCCCGAAAATTCGTCAAACATATACTTGTTTTTATTTTTTCACCAACAAACTTTAATTACAAGGTGGTTTTTGAACAACACAAACCAATATTTATTAGTTATATCGTGATTGTTTGAAATTTTAACAAGAGACAAAGATTATATTGGTGTAGTTTGAACATTTCATTTATTAAGCAGGAACTTATCAGTTGATTTACATATTAACGGATATTTTTTTAGATATCACACTTTAATAAGATTAATCATTATTACGTGTTTGTACTTGTGTATAGCATTGGTCATATTGATTAATAGCTATGTATGTCCACTCTTTTATTAGACAAAGGTACAACATTTCTGTAGCATAAAAAAAAATTGTTTTATGCTCAAATATTATTTTTTTATAATTTGCATATAGAAAAAAGTTTTGTAATCAAATGATCTAAAAAGTAATAGTTACCGTCTGTGATGTCATATTCAAATATAAGAGGTAATTTGAATACCAAATCAATTTGACTTCTTTTGAAGAAATAATATAAATTCTTCAAAATCTTGTCATATTTGGAAAAAAAATAATGTTCACGATTTTCCTCCTGCTTACAAAATTTACACTGATCAATATTTATATATAATGCATTGGAATGATATAGTGTAATAATTTACATCTAACTATTTTGATTTCTTTTCGGTTGAATATTCATAATCAAAACTGATGACAATAAATTCATATATATTTCTAATTTATCGGTTTTTACTGTCAGCTGTTAAATGATATTTTAAGATGGGATATTGTAAACAGTCAAACGTACAGTTATGTGCAAATGCTATTCCATATTCTAATAAGACGAACTCAATGTGTTTCCAGAAAATACAAGTACACAATAATTGCGATATACGCATATACATGCCTTTACTGTCTATTGAGTAAGATGTACAGAAAAGTACGTTAACTTTGACAATTTTGTAATTTGTCAAAGACAAATAGGAAGTATGACATTTTAAACCAATACTGAATATGGTGATAATTCTTCTTTTTAAAGTAATTTTATTCATTTATAGGCAATACGTTATAGAGATTTTCATAGTTTTACCTTCTCTTGATAAAACATCAAAATGAAAAATATTCGTTAAATGTATACATTTGCATACTTCCAAAATTATGATTAACTTTAACAATGTAAAAATATTTCATTAACATATTCATTGTATATCAACCACATCAAAAAAGTTAAGCAACAAAACTTCTGACTGAAAATAAAATTAAAACAAAATCTCGATTTATCATTCAAATTTTCTAACTCTTGAATCAATTGTGTTTTCAAAAATACATCAGTTATGTTGGTAAAATTTCAAACAGCTACACTAAAAGTAAATTTTGAGAGAAGGAGTCAAAATTGAAAGTCTCAGTTTTAACAGTTTTACAATGTTCTAGTTAGAAAATTAATACAACGAATAAAATTGACGAAGTGGTAATCCAATGACATAATTGATTACATAAGAATAGACACTTACATTTCCTTCGCACAAAAATGAAAATCAGATTATTTACCAGCATTTACGACAAAGACACGAACCTTAAAAGTTGGACCCCCATTAATTCAAATGAAAGTGTCGCAAAAATGTCTAGGTACAACGCGGTTTTTGTCTATAAAAATTACGTTTTTTACAATTTCAATTTACATTTTCTATGATCACGGATTCTATTCCGTTTTGTTGATTTAATGCTGAGCCTAATAAGTCTTTATTATATCTAGCTAAACCTCTCCTTCAAATATACGGTAAAACTTTAAAAAAATAAATATATCTAAAATTTTGTAGTTAAAAAATGCACAAACTGACTAAGTGGTGAATTCAATGGAGAAATTGATCTCATAAGAACATACATTAAGTAAAATAAAAAGTAAAATAACAAATATACCGAACTCCAAGGAAAATTTAAAACAGAAATTCCCTTGTTAAAAAGCGAAATCAAAAGCTCAAACACATCAAACTAATGGAGAACAACTGTCATATTCCTGACTTGGTACGGGCATTTCCTTATGTAGAAAATGGTAGATTGAACCGCGCTTTTCGTCTTTAAAAAATACATTTTTTATTACATTTTTTTATTCAAGAACTCATTTATCAGGAAGCAAATATGCCAAATCAAATATAAAAACAAAAATAACAATTCTACGTTTTGTTTTTTGTTGAGAAAAGAGTTCGTGTCCCAGAGAATAACTTACAAAACTTTCTTCATTTTATTCCATCACCAATGTACACCCAAAATGTTGGAAGTATTGGACTATAAGAGTTGCATGGATAATATTGTGCAGTATAAGATTAAAGATAGATTTTGAAATTAAGATCATTCAAACCCCGTAAAAGTTTAAGTTTAATAATTTGATCAAATATAATAGTACGCAAGGAAGCAAAAAAATGGTTATGATATATGTATGGTATAGTTGTATACATTTGATAAACTTAAAATCTACAATGAAAGAACTAGCATTGCCCGATAATTAATAACATTAAGTTGGATATAAGCAGCACAAATTTTGAATATAGAATATGAATAGCAATAATAATATACAGATTAATCATATGTTCTTATACAGATTCTCCAGTTCTGTCATCCCAGGAAAATACCAATATGTTCCACTTGTATTAGCCGAAAGACCAAAGAGCATATCACCCTCTCCATTTGTCATTTCTGCTAACATCCTTTCAAACACATCTGTATTGTTTGAGTACGCAAGGAAAAACAATCCTGAATGGCCGTTTTCTTCAGTGTATGGAAGAGATTGCCTCACTATTTGTGCACTTCCTTCTCCTTCTTGAACTAAGATATAAAAGCTGCAGTATTATCTTAAATTCTGTCAAGAAGATAAACACCTTTTCCAGACGCACCCACTTTCTACAAAATGATTGTGCAATAAAATGTACAGATAAAGTTAAAAAGTGTGCACACATTATAACAATATCTGTCTGATAAAGAATAATAAAAAAAACTGACGAAAAACTCGATAACCAACCTAGGTATATAAGCTAAGTATGTGTTACAGGCTATTCAATTTGTTTAATAGTTTTGTTAAAAAGTTTTGTATTGAATAACTTTTGCTATCAATTATCTTTTAATCTATTAATATTTATGTATTTTCTTATCATAACAAATCTCACATCAGCTCTACTAGAAGATGTACGTCTGATAAAAACTAGAAAACAGATGAATAACTGAAAAGGACATTATGACCCGAATTGCTATCAAAAGACTAAATGTCAATGATTAATATTTTGTCTTGGATACATTTATTATGAGTTGTTATTGGCTTAAATTCAAACTAGCTTTCAGTAACTTCGTGTACTCTCAGATTAGAACTTGTGTCTTTTATGTGTTTGCTAGTTGTTTTTTGTGCTTTGTGTCGATATAACATGACAAGACTTATCAATTGATGTTGATACGATGTTATTTTGACTGTTAGACAACGGTAAGGATGTGGTCTCTCGCAAATATGTTTAACCCCACCACATTCTGTATGCGCCTAACACAAGGCTAGTGTTTTAGCTCAGTGATTGTCATTTGTTGTTGTATATCACTGTTTTTTAGTTTGCTGTTTTGTAGACTTATCAGACTCTTCGTTAACTCTTTGGATTGGTTTAAACTTTTTCATAACAAGACCTTTGATATCTTGAAATTCCTACGGATTTTGCTCATTGTTAAAGGTCGTACGATGACCTTTAGTTTCTAACATCTATGTCATTTGGTCTGAGTTGGACAGCTGTCGCAATGGCAATCATACCGCAGTTCATTATATTTTATTTATCCCACCATATTTTGTATGTGCCTGACCCAAGTCGGTAGTTTGTAGTTCAATGGTTGTCGTTTTGTTGCTTTATATCTATGTTTTTCGTTTGTTGTTTTGTAGTTAAATCAGACTCTTGGTTTTCTCGTTTGAATTATTTTTATTTTCATTTGAAGGCCTTTCATAATATAAAAACAAAGGATATGTGGTATCCATCCATGACACATAATCAGTTCATGCTTAAAAAAAAACACACTCAAAAAGCAAAGGAACAACGAGACCTACAACACGAAGCGTACGGTGATTGGTTAAAACTTTGTCATAACAAGACCTTTGATATCTTGCAATTCCTACGGGTTATGCTCATTGTTAAAGGTCGTACGATGACCTTTAGTTTTTAACATCTATGTCATTTGGTCTGAGTTGGATATCTGTCGCATTGGCAATCATACCGCAGTTCATTATATTTTATTTACCCCACCATATTCTGTATGTGCCTGACCCAAGTCGGTAGTTTGTAGTTCAATGGTTGTCGTTTTGTTGCTTTATATCTATGTTTTTCGTTTGTTGTTTTGTAGTTAAATCAGGCTCTTGGTTTTCTCGGTTGAATTGTTTTTATTTTCATTTGAAGGCCTTTCATAATAGAAAAACAAAGGATATGTGGTATCCATCCATGACACATAATCAGTTCATGCTTAGAAAACAAACACACTCAAAAAGCAAAGGAACAAAGAGGCCTACAACACGAAGCGTACAGTGACATTTAGTTGCTGACATCTACGTCATTTATTTGGATAGCTGTCTTATTGGCAGACACACCGCATCTTATTATTTTATAAATTCGGTTCAGACTTTTTAGATAATGATCAGATCAAAATTGCCATTTAAGACTAATTTTCATGTACTGTGGAAATTGCTCTAAAAATTTAGTTATCATGCACGAAGAACAGAATTATGCAATATATATTATTACGATTTGAATAGTCGACGAACCATGATTTATCAAAAGTATAAACTTTCTTTCAATACAATAGTAAAACAAAAAAAGGTACACATAGATGGCCGTGATAGGCATATTTAGGAAACAATGACAGAAAAGCGCCCTCGAAAAATGTTTATTACAGTTTTCTGCAACTCATGGGAATGGCTGTCTATTTGACACGTAACTCATCCTTTATAGTCATGTAAAACGGTATATTGAATTATCATTGATATGGTCATAATTACAAATTAACTGTTTACAAAACTTTTTAAATACTAAGGTTTTTCTACCTCAGGAATAGATTACCTTAGCTGTATTTGGCAAAACTTTTAGGAATTTTTGGTCATCAATGCTCTTCAACTTCGTCCTTTATTTGGCCTTTTTAACTTTTTTTAGATTCGAGCGTCACTGATGAGTCTTTTGTAGACGAAACGTGCGTCTGGCGTAAATACAAAATTTCAATCCTGGTATCTATGATGAGTCTATTTGCAAATGTATTCTACTACCTCTTCTCATTAAGTTAACATGAGCTCTAGGTTGTATATCCTCTAACAATCTTCCATTTTCTCTTTTGCGTCCAATCCATTGATTCTGTTGATCAACTTAAAAAGATATACATCAGTAAAAATGGAAATCTCACTATGAATAATACAACTTACAAACATCCCAAAAAACAATATCTCTTATAGTCTAAGATCTAGAGGAGCTTCGTTCTCAATCTGTTCTAAAGTTACAAAAGCTTTATGAATGAGAAGGAGGAGAAGGAGGATCACATTCAGTTTCTTAAATTCCGAATAAAGAATTATCATTGGATTTTTAATGATCTGTTTAATCGATAGCGGCAATAAAACTTCTCACGACAAATGCATCACCAGTCACATATGCAGCAAAACAGGAAATTTTGGTTTAAATGAACTTACTATTGAAATTAATGGTCGTGTTTTTGGAGATCAAATTTATGTATCACGTGTGAAGTTAATTCCTTGATACTCACGGACAAAACTTGAAGAGTTACAACATCATGAAATTTTAAAACTCACCGATAGCATCATCCGGTCTTTCAACTTTTACTGTATCCATTCTGTGAGCCCATTTCTGTGTGATCTTTAACAATAAGTTTACTCATGACATTTTCGAAAATATTTAATTTATTAGCCCAAATTATTTAAACAAATTAGACGTTCATGCTGAAACAAAAGCGCAATGAACGTCATTTACATTTTCTTTGTTTCCAATAGAAAAGATGTCTCTTTTGAGGTACTTCATTCTATTTATATTCACATTCAATATGTTGGTCAAAATAGGTAAACCATATTAAAACTAATATACAATATAAAAATTCTGATTATAGAATTACACATTAAATATGCCAAAAAAAAAATCATTGTTACAAATGGTGTCAATCAGAATTGAAAAATGTCAACTTGATAATGCCATAAAAGTTGTCGAAGACAATCCCAATAATTGGATGAAAGAGAAGGTCAGACAGAATGAATCTAAGAAATAACCAATCATTAAACATTTACAAATCAACTATCAACTAAATATCTCTAAACGTGTTTAAAAAAAAAGTCAAAAATACCATGCTAATAATTTGGTATGCCTGATAGTCATTTCATCTCCGTAAGAGTCATCGTTGGAGCTCGAATTAAAATATTAAGAAGGCCAATTGCAATTGGAAGGTCAAATCAATTACAAAGTTGAAAAGCCTCAAAAACCAAAAAATTCATCCAGAAAATTTGCTAAATGATTTTAGTTATAGCCACATAATTTTTCAATAAGTTGTTGTTGGCTTTTAAATAGCTGTCAGTAATTCTGAGATCTGTACTTTTTCGTTGTGGTCATGTATTAGTACCCTGCCACGTCTTGTCTGTGTTTCATATGTTGTGATGTTACACCACTGTCCCAGTTTGGGGTGGGTTGGACTCCCACAAACATGTTTAACCCCGCCACATTCTGTATGTGCCTGTCCCGTCAGGATCCTGTAATTCAGTGGTTGTCGTTTGTTGAATATCATTTATGATTTTCCTTCATTGTTTTGACTCTATCGAAAAATAAACTCATCATAGATACCAGAATTGAAATTTTATATTTACGCCAGACGCGCGTTTTGTCTACAAGAGACTTATCAGTGACGCTCGAAAGGCCAAATAAAGTGCGAATTTGAAGAGCATTGAGGACCAAAAACTCCTAAAAGTTTTGCCAAATACAACTAAGATTTATGACTTTTGAACAGCTGTATACTACTGTTGCCTGTATTTGTACATAAATCAGGCCGTTAGTTTTCTCGTTTGAATTGTTTTACATTTGTCATTTCGGGGCCTTTTATAGCAAACTATGCAGTATGGGCTTTGCTCATTATTGAAGGCCGTTCGGTGACCTATAGTTATTTGTTCTATGTTATTTTGTTTCTGGTGAAGAGTTGTATCATTGAAAATCTTTCCACATCTTCATATTTTTATATTAAGGCAATTTATACCTTAGGATAAGTAAACTTACATAAAAATTAACATATCAATGATATCGCAACATGTGGACAATGACATGCCTACCCTTCAGGAGCACTTGAGATCACTCACAGTTTTTGGTTGGGTTCGTGTTTCTCAGTCTTCAGTTTTCTAAGTTGTGTTTTGTGTACTGTTGTTTGCCTGTTGGTCTTTTTCTTTGTTAGCCATGGCGTTGTCAGTTTATTTACGACTTATGAATTTGAATGTCCCTCTGGTGTCTTTTGCCTTTCATTTCTGTCTACTCAAAAGAGCTTACTATTGGACTGATGCTACACTAGGAGACAAAGCCTCTACAACTAGCCGTGGCAATGACCAAGTGGTTTTAAAAACTCACCAAAGATACTAAGTTTATAAATGGGTGCGCCGAACGTCTAAATAAGATTTCACAAGTGGCGATCCAAAACACTTGGAAATACAATCAAATACAACGTGGAAGAGCATTAAAAACCTTAAATTCCGTAAAGGTATACCAATACGGCTAAGGTAAAATATGCGTAAGGGAGACGAGGTAGAGTCATATTAGTATTTCGAGTATATCAATATTTTATAAACAGTAAATTTACAGAAAATGAACGTATCAATGAAAGGTCATGCTAACACTATAGTGTTGACTACGAAGATAGTGATAAAAATGGATGCAAACGTTATTTTTTTAAAGAATTTGGAAGAACAATGCACACAATGACATCAAATGTAGTTTAGTTAAATCATATCTCTGTATATTAACATACCAAGTATCAACTAAGTATCAATGAAAAGTTTGTTAAAAATTGAAAACTTAACGAATTGTTCCATGTAGGCGTAAGGTTTTAAAAAGCCAATTTAACAAAGAAATTTTTAGCTTATAAAATAGGTTCTAATGTAAGTACGCCAACCTGAATAGTTTTTTTCAAATGATATAACGCATCTTTGAATCGATCATATAACAATTATGCCTTCAAGGTAAATATTTTGCTGTTTACCTATATATACATTTTATCATTACAATCATCTTATTTGACTTGTAGAATTGAAAGTAGAGACAATGAAATAGACACTTGATAGGAATAACTCTTATTAAGTTAAAACTATTTGGTCCTGCATGTATAAAGACGAAAAACATTGACGACGTATTAACGAAATTACAAGTAAACGTACAGTGACATCTTTTTATCTAACAAGGACGATTACTCCAAAATGATAGAAACAAAAACAAAATATTAAAAGTTGCAAACGGACTTTTTTGCCCTAGATTCGTTTCTGGCAAATGTGATGCTGTGCAAATATTTAATAAATATTATAGACGAGATGATATTAGTTTGTTAAAAGTTTGTTTTGACAAATTGCTATTCACTGCAAAAAAGTATCAGGTCAACAAACAATCACCAAAATATAATTAACAAACCATCTAGACATATTTGGTAAACTAAAATGACAGGGATGCCATTGTGTTATACTTGTTGATGGTTGATTTTGATGCTTTTTGCAAAAATGTCATTTTTTTTTTTTCTTAATTTAAGGTTTCAAACATAAAAATTTCATAAAGATTGAATAATTTGGTATAATTATGATTTAAAGCGCTAAATGTCGCCTACGCGTATCTAAATCATTTTAGTTTTCATTAGAAATTAGAATTATTGTGCAATACAAAGCAGTAAACGTAATATTTTTGTTTCTTTCAATACGAACATGACTTACTTATTCTCAGGAGAGCATATATATCATTAACAAAAAAAGACTCAGCTAAAGGAATCGAACCGCTTCCCATTTCTATGCATCCAAATTCAATCCTGGTTTTGCTGGTTGATGTTGCTGAAGTATTATTATTTTTGCTCAAAGTTATTTGAACACCTTTTGTTTCTTTTTGTCTTTTCTCTGTGTTGTGGCCAGATCTTCGTCGACACATTGTTTCTTATTGTCTTTCTTATTTTTCTCCAATTTGTATAAGCGTCATATTCTATGTACGTATACGGAATATATCAGTACTTACAACAAAGCTTCCACCAGTATTACTCAAAACAGCCCAATTTCGTCTTTCTTCAGTTGTAGCAGGATTTGCAATTCCTATGAATAAACACAATACATGCGGTTAATACTCAGAACGTTATCATGAATTTTCGAATTTCTTGATCTTTGATTGTTTTTGTGTTTCTTTCATCTTTTCAACTTTTCACCGGATCTAATAAAAAAAAGCAAAATTAGAAAAAAGATAAAAAATGGGAATCATAAAACACATGGCAGAAAAAAACACACATGCCAAAATTTTTGAAAAAAATAATTTAAACTTCCTTAATTTTCTGAGTTTTAAACATTTTTCTGGATTAACCTTCTCCTAGAATGCATAGTTACAAAACAAAAAAGAAAGAAAAAGATGCATAAGTACAAAAACAGCTATTCATGACCAAAAGTACCCGAATGAAAATAACACTATAGGTTGCACTTCGTAAATCAAGTGTGATTTGCAAGCAATGCCTCTTTTTTGGAGAAATTTAATATGCATATCAATATATATACTGCTACCGTTTACATGGTTGTGTCTGGATGCAAACTATTATTTTGTTTAAATCAGACTTGATTGGAGAATTAAATGGATAGAAATAAAAATGTCTATTTTTTCAACTTATTTTTCAGGAGGACTGGAAGACATTGTGGTGTTGAGTAAAATTTAAGGTAGATCATAGGTATATATTTCTTGAGATAGAATTTTCTTATACTTTGTCAAAATGAAGATTTTACTATGATTTTTTCAAAAATATAATATAAAGTATGGGTCACCGTGCTATTTTTCAAGCTATGAGTCGTTGAAAATTGCCTAAATTTGGTTAGATTGTTCATGAAAAAACACATTTGTGTGCATAAAAAGAAATCTATGAGATAGAATTTTGAAATAAATTGTGAGAAGATAGGTTTTATAATATGTTTTAAGAAAGTAAACAGAAAAAATGGTGTCACCGAACTTGTTTTCTTGCTACAAGTAAAAATTAAAATTTTCCCTATCATTCTAGTATAATTTTTTACTAAAAGAGTTATCTCCCCTAAAATGGCTGAGTTGAAAAAAAAGGATTTTAAAAACGCAAAATTTGATATTTGTTTAAATATTTTGAATAAAACAAAGAATCACCAAGTTTTCCTTATATAAATAAACAGTCTACCCAATGAATTGCAAATCTGTCTCCAAATTTGTACATTTGAGCAAATAACTAGACCGATTGTGTACTGCGATTGTACAATCCAAGATGGCGGTATACCATGAATCTACCTTAATGGAAAAATTCAGTGCGATCCAGCAATGTTTATAAAACTTGAAAATATGCCGCACAGCTATATGCAAAAAAAAAAGTAGTGCATGTCTCCTTTCCAGGGAAATATAATATTCTCCTCAAAACTTCCTGAATGAAGAGTGACTGCAAATGCATTGTATGTAGTTCTAATGGGAAAGTGCAACTTTTTCATTTTTCATACGACCAAAGAACATTTGACTTCACACAAATCAATCAAAGGTAAACTTTGCCTTAAAGACTTGGAACCTTAGTTCTTTAATAATTTCTAAATATTTCAACGGACAATACAAGAAAGTAACGTTATGAATCATGTAAGTACCGAGGAACTTGCTACTTAGCTGATTATACGTTCGGGTACGCATAGTCTACAAGCAGTGGTATCAATCAAGTGCTATAAAAAACGAAAATAATACTTTAAAAATGTTATACGTCCCGAACTCTTTTCTGCATTTTCCTTCAACAGGAAGTACAATGCCGAAACATTTGAAAAAAAAAAAGATTTCTACGTACAGAAACACATGCAGAGCAATACATGACTAAAAGGGACATACAAACTAAATCCATCTAAGGTTATATTTACCGTGGGGAACTACAACCCTATTGATTTTTAATAATATCAAAATTTTCAATTGACATTTAAAAAAAGGTTCGATGTAAATCATGTCAGAACCGATGCACTGACTACTGAGCTGATGATGCTCTATGGAACTTATAGTCTACCAACAGCGGTATTGACTCATTGCTATACAAATGAAAACAACACTTTGTAAATGTTATACGTCCAAAGCGTTTTTCTGTTTTATATATAGGTCAGACCAACACAAATTCATCATTTAAACACAATAATTCACACACAACAAAAATATATAAATCTTCAGATGATTGCAACACAGCATAATTTTGTGTCATATCTATTTTAATAATAAAAACTTGATTGTGCAGTAATAGTTCTGATATATGGTTGGACCACACAAATCTTTTCATCAGATTCAGAAAAAAAACTCATTAACGTTCACAGGCTTATATTTTTTACGCCACACGCATGCAAAGGTCTTTAAAAGTATAACAAAAGTCTGAACTACAAGACAAATGTTAAAAGGGGAAGTCCATATAAACTGACACAATCAAACTCTATCAACCAACGGAACAATTGAAAAACAACTGCCATACTCCTGTCTTGGTACAGGCACTTTCCGGAGAAAATTTAGGGTTGAAAGGAACACAATATTTAAGGTTTACTATTCATTTGTTAATCTTAGTGAATGCAACCCTACAAGCAATGTTCAATCTATAATATATATGTTAATGCTCACCTTCAGGGTTGGCTTACTTACAATTAATTATCGTATTATAATCTCATATCTAACGAACAAAACTGTATAGAGTTTACACCTACCGTCCATATAACCAGAAATATCTCGATGGTGTTGAAATGTAAATCCTCGAGTTATGCTTGTTTTTTCGGGATCAACAATTTTATGTGGCAGGGTATTATAGAACACGTGTTGAAACTCGTATAGTGTGCCAACATTGTTTCCTTTTGCATGGACAAATATGTCGCCGCCTAATTAGGATAAAGTACATAGTGTAAAATTAATTGACATACACATAATGCAGTTAAAATATATTGAAGTATACAGAAAACAAACATCAGTAAATGATTTAGGTATCAGATCGTGTAAAATAGACGAAAAAGCAAAAACTAGAAAACATGTAAGAAAATTTGTGAAATAATACGAATAATTATACAAATATAAAAACAATATGAATTTATATGGTTTTCGGAAATATCTCGACCTAAGAAGCTTCGACAGTGTTAATATTTTGTTACAATGTAGTAATGCAATAAAACGATTGAGCTCTTTTAAAACACACAAAAAAAAACTCGTTTCATTACATTTTGATACTGTTAATATTTGGTTTATAACATTGTTTTGACAATCGTCGTCTCACTGCTCATGTGTACCAAAAACACTTACGCAGCACATTCAGTCAAATTTGAACTTTTATTATGGGATTTCATGAGTTGTTTGTTCCTTAAATATTTGTCGTGACGTCAGCCTATTTATTTACCATGGATTCTTTTTCTAGAATCAACGCTTCCTAAATCCGTCGCTGAAATGGACTCACCAAATCATATTCGATTGTTTCCTTTGTGTGCTTAATTTCATTAAGTTTGAATTGACTAATTTACTGATTTCTGTTCACTAATGGAATTAATTAAAAAAAAACATCCCTTTAATCTTTGTAATTTCTATATGCCTTTACTTGGAATCGAACCAGTCTTTGAAATTGTTATGTGTGACTGACATCAACATATCGACGAAACCTCTCGGCTACCAATAGGTTACAATTTAAATAGATATAGGAAGATGTGGTATGAGTGCCAATGAGACAACTCTCCATCCAAGTCAAAATTTATAAAAGTAAACCATTGTAGGTCAAGGTACGGCCTTCAACACGGAGCATTGGATCACACCGAACAGCAAGCTATAAAGGCCCCTAAAAATTACTAGTGTAAAACCATTCAAACGGGAAAACCAACGGTCTAATCTATATAAAAACGAGAAACGAGAAACACGTATGAACTACATAAACAGACGACAACTACTGTACATCAGATTCCTGACTTAGGACAGGTGCAAACATTTGCAGCGGGATTAAACGTTTTAATGTCTATTTTATATATATATGTATGATAATTTTAAGATATAATTTCAAAATCAGGCTTTGTACTTATATGTATGCTTAATATAAACTCTTTTTTTCAGTTTTATGAATGCATGTTTTGTTATGTATTAATTGTTGAATGTATTTTTATTGTCGATTTTAAAAGCTCTCAAGAGCTTATATGTTTATAATTGTCTTGTATATACTGTTTAAAAGAACCTCCGTGTCTTATATCTTCTGTCATAGCGATTGCGTCTGATGTCTTAGCGAATAACACACTTTCGTCTTATGTCTCCGCGATAAATACATCTACCACCAACGTCTTGACAATTAATACATTTACATCTTATATCTTAGCAATTTATAAATACATTTACGTCTTATGTCTTAGCAATTAATTCATTTACGTCTTATGTTTTAGCGATTTATACATCTACGTCTAATGTATTAGCGATTAACACATTTCCGTCTTATATCTTAGCGACTAATACATTTACGTCTTATGTTTTAGCGATCAATACAACGTCTTATGTCAGCGATTAATACATTTCTTTTTAAAAATTACCTTTGCTGGGTAATACAATCTTCTTTCCTATTTTCCAATCTTGATATTTAACTTTTTCCGCAAGTAGCAAAAAGTTATCCCGTAAACCCTGTAACTCTTTTTATCTTTTCAAAATCTGTAATTGGCATATAACATATAATCATACTCAATAATTAGCTCCTTCAGTTTTGTTTGCCGAAATTTCAAACTTGAATCTGCCTCATATCTTGACTGACATCTAGAAATTGACAATGAGGGTCGGTTGAAAACAAAACTTTACGACAAAAGAGATTATTTCAGCTTCCCAATTGTGAACTTTCCATTTCTATGTAGCAGCATTCCAGCAGCGCCTGCATACCGAGTATATATCTCCCAATTGATACGATATTCCCGGGCTTGTATTTCCTATCATGATTTCCTTGATAGAGGGTTGCTGCTCACAAGGAAGCTATAAAACAAGAGTTCCAAATGGTGAAGTTGAAATCATCCCTACGCCATCACGAGTTGGTTGACCGTTATGGAATATCCGTTTCACAGATGATATCGGATATGTTCCTTATGTCGTAACTATAATCCCGTTCCGAATTAGACTATTTACCGGGTTTGTAATAACATAAGCAACACGACGGGTGCCACATGTGGAGCAGGATCTGCTTACCCTTCCGGAGCACCTGAGATCACCCCCAGGTTTTGGTGGGTTTCGTGTTGCTTAGTCTTTAGTTTTATATGTTGTTTTTTGTGTACTATTATTTGTCTGTTTGTCATTTTCTTTTTTAGCCATGGCGTTGTCAGTCGATCTATGAGTTTGAATGTCCCTCTGGTATCTATCGCCCCTCTTTTTTAAACGAATGTACGTTTTGGGGCTTATTAAGCCTTTTCATCATTTGTAAAACATTGTATGACGTGTCTGTAGTCTCGTTTTGGATTACAATGAAGGTAATT